GGTTATCCACAACAACTAGTGGTTTCCAGTTTTTCACAGCATCAAAGTTAATGTAGCTCAGTTTCAAAGATTTTTATTAAACTGTACCTTTATTCACTGTTTAAAGTACATTAAAAGACACAGTAATTAAACTAAAAATAATATATTTTTATTATGTTCGTTATTATTTTTTTATAAAATTGATAAAGTAGCTGTAGAATCATGAACATAAAAAAAGATATAATCATTAGACATTAATGACTTGATTGAATCACAGACATAGTAAAGGATTGGCTTTATTTGTGACAGCTGTATAGAAAGACCTTATTTTTGGTTTGAAAATACTAATGTTTTACACCTTGTTGTTTACTTACAGGCCTGAAAAGAAGTATAGAAAATCCAATCCTCCATGTGATCGAGAAGGGATTTAGTTGAAAGTAGTTTGTACATAGTTTGTAGGTGCCAGAAATTTAATAATGATGTATCTTGCACAATAGAAATAAAAGTTAGTAGAAGTCTAGTGGACTCGATCAATTAGAATTTTCAGAAATGAAAAAAATTTAAATAATTTAATATTCTATACACATAAAACCAAACTGTTAAAAAATTTTGTGTCATATTACAGTTGAAATTGCATTTAATGTTTTACTAATTTTTTTAAAATATTGCACGTGCAGTTTTATGGCTCATTTTCTTTTAGTACAAGAATGGTATGGAAGTATTTTTATTTAGTATATGTCAGGGTTTTAAATATGAGTGGACTGAGGATTCTTCCACAGTAGGTGTCTGTTACTTGTTGGTGATAAATGTCAACAATAAACGGACAGCACACAATCCACTTGTTTTAAAATAATGTATTCAAAACAAGTCAAATGTATGTACAAAAATTCTTTACACTATAGAATATTACAGTTTTATCTAAAACTCTAAATTATTTTTTTGTTAAAAGTTCATACAGGCTGATTCAATTACTTTAGAATCCAGTTGACAAGATGAACTATTTTTCTCTACTTACGTTATCTTGTGAGTTACCACAATTGTATCTCAAACTTTAAATAATTGTGTCCTTTTCATCAAAGTCCACACACATGGATTCAATTACCTTAGAACACCCTTTGACAAGACAAATTATTCTCCTTATCTCTATTAAGTTGTGAATCTCACTTTAAAATATTGCCCGTTATGGCTAATCACTCACACACTGGCTAACTTCACATTTTCTTTCGCTAACTAATATACTGACTGAACTGCACTTTTTTCTACTTTACTTCATATGATTTGCACTTGCTTGGTCACCTATATTTATGCATTGCCCAGCTGAGGCCTCAACCATTCTCTAAACTACGTGAACGGTGTTGTAAGGTAACAACACTCACTTAAGGTAATGAGAAAAATACCGATGATTCGAGTAACATGATGTCAACAATATTAGTAAGGCCTAGATAACTGTAATTGCAAACACAACGTATGATTTGTACAGAGTTACATAACAGAATTTGTCACAACTAACACTTTTAAAAATCCATTTTCAACACCCCTGTCTTAACTCTTTCAACACAAGTTCGGTCAATTTGACCAACCACATGACCACTTTGTACTCACATAAAGTCTTTATAGATTTAATACTTCTTACTTTCAATATAGTATGTACATCTTCACAAAATTTAGCAGTCTTTCACATACAAAAAATAATATTTTTAAGTGAAGTATTTTTAATAAAATAAAATAAAGATTTGTCCATTAATATATTGAGTATTTGTTTTGAATAGTCCATGTGCAAAGTAATTTTCATGTAAAAACTAAAAATACCTTTACTCATCTCAAAAATCTCAAATTTCCTTTGTATAATCCCTAAAACCTCCTAAATGCATTTCAAACGCTTTGTTTTCATTAAAACATTATAGTTTATCTGTTACTTTCTCTTCCCTATCTCTAAACAGGATCGGTCAATTCGACCGACCTTGTAACCACCCAAAAAAAATCGAAATAAACTTAA